AAAAGTTACGGGAGATAATTGATGATGGGGGATATACCCCTCAGCAAGTCTTCAATATAGATGAAACAGGTCTCTTCTGGAAACGAATGCCATCAAGAACATTCATATCTAATGAAGAAAAAATAGCTAGCGGTCCAAAGGTTTCGAAGGAAAGGCTAACACTTTTACTTGGTGGTAATGCTGCAGGGGATTTTAAACTAAAGCCGTTATTGGTACATAAGTCTGAAACTCCAAGGGCTATGAAAAACATTTCAAAAGTCAAACAAAAAGGCTTGGATGACTTCTAAATTATTTAATGATTGGTTCAAAATACATTTTTGCCCAGAAATAAAAAAATACTGCAAAACAAATAATTTATCGCATAAAGCACTGTTACTAATGGACAATGCTCCAGGTCATACTATAAATTTAGATAACATGGACGATAATATTAAAGTCGTATTTTTACCTCCAAACACAACTTCGCTCATTCAACCTATGGACCAAGCCGCATTCAAAAAATATTATTTAAGACGCAGTTTTAATAATCTTATAAAAGAAATAGACAAGCAATCTAATGAAAATAACGATGTTATACGGCAGTTTTGGAAAACTATGATATTATGCAAGCAGTAGAAAATATAAAACATAGTTGGGGTGAGGTATCTGCATCGACTATGCGAAATTCGTGGAAAAAAATATGGCCTGAATGTAACTGATATTGAAACTGCCGAAAATGTTAGTAATATAAACGATGAAATTATAAATTTGGCCCATACATTAGGATTTTCTGAAATAGATGAATCAGATGTGGCTGAAGTTTTAAATTTTGAAGAAGAACCACTAACCAACTCTGAACTATTTGCACTCATAAATCCCTCAAATCAGCAACAAAATCAAGGGGAAAAGAAAGCGAAAAACATCATCAGATTCCATTATCAAAACTCTCAGAGGCCTTTAGTTGTATTGAAAAAGCTATGCAGATTTTTGAAAAATTTGGCGATGATGAAGAAAGAGTTGAGTCAACAAAAAAGTCAATAACTATGGGCCTTAAGTCTTACAAGGAACTGTACGAACAGAAAAAGTTGACCATGCCTCAGAAGCGAATTGATTCATTTTTTAAACCTATTTCATCAGACACGACATCCATAAGTCAGAGTCAGACATCACAGCAAACTACTTTTGATGATGACATTGAAATGATAATTTCTGAAATCTGTTCATCAAACTCGGATTCCAATGATTAACTTTTATATTCACAAATTATTTTTTAAAGTTTTTTCTTTTAATTAATATATACCATGTACAAAAAATATGTGATTGAATTATCTTTTTAGTTTTTAAGTAAAAATTTCTATATGTACCTTTTTTAAATAGTATTTATATATTTGTGTTAATGCATTATTTTTTTTATTATTCATTAAACTTTTTGTGAACAAAGTATGAAATAAATTTGTATAAGAAATTAAAAATACATACATATATGTAATGTATGTAGTTATACACAATAAAAATTTAATTATTTTGTTTTATTTTATAAAATATACCAACATAAATAAATGCATCTGATAGTATGAGTTATTTGAAATTCGATTTACGTCGTTTCGATTTACGCCGCCTTTTCCCGAACCAATTACGACGTAAATCAAGGGATTACTGTAATGTTAATGCCCTTTGATGATTTTCAGTAGAAATTTAAACTTCACAGTGTTGCCATACAAATAACAGAAAATGTCACTGTTTGCTATCAAACCAATGCACGGTGGTCAATTCCGGCCAAAAATGATTTCTTTCAATTATTTAATTCTGATAAATTTTTGATGGTAGATTATAGCTAACACTTCAAATCATACAATTTAATTCATATTTTGATTATTGCTTAACCTTGTGACTGTTTATACATATGCAAAGTTGATAATATTTTGCCTGTCGTTTTTTGGTTTTTAAATTAGATTTTAGACTCCTTTACATAAATGAAGGCTATGATTTTTCCTTAAAGTTTTTCTTTGTAAATTATCACGTGTAGAAAGTAGTCTTAGTAAATAATCATTCCATGTGGTTATTGCGATTTTGTGCGGCTTAATTTTTTGGATAAATTAAGTGATTGTGGCCTACTGTAAAAACTAAAAAAAGCTATAAAAATCCAAATTTTGAAAGACCGTAGAAAGGGAAAAGGGGCAATAAGAGGTTGGTTGAACATTGTATCTACTACTGTTATATATCAGGAATAAGTATTATAAATTTCATCTGCAACTTCCTGCAACTCTAGTATCTAGAGCATTTTTAATGACTTCGTCTATTACAAATGCTGAACTTTTCCATGTATTTCAACTTCATAAATATAGAGAACGGGACGACATATTATCAATAGTACAAAACCACATGGAGGAGGGAAGGGTCAATTATGAACTGAACTAAATAAAATGTTACAGTAGGATTTTACCGCCTATAAAACTTGTTTGTGTATTTATCACTCAGTTAAATCCTTTTTCTTAAGGATCCTTATATAAGGGATAGGGTCAATTATGGACCAATTGTCATAAACTTTGATACACATATTTATGTTCATATGAAACATGTTTGTGTCAAATTCCATTGCTAGACAGATATTTTAAAGCCAGTAATGAGTGTTAAAGCAATTTTTTGAAAGGAACCTAATATGGGAGGTAGGGTCAATTATGGACCAATTCTCATAAAATTTTATAGTGAAATTTAGGTTCCTATAAAACTTGTTTGTGTCGAATTTCATTGCCATACAGACATTTTTAAGCCAGTAATGAGCGTTAAAGTAATTATCTGAAGGGGACCTTATATGGTAGGTATGGTCAATTATGGACGGAATGCAAGAAAATTTGGTCGAGAGGTTTAGGTTCCTATAAAAATATTTTGTGTCAAATTTCGTTGCTTTACTAGTATTTTTAACCCAATTATTAGCATTTAAGAACCTTATACCGTAACATTTATGGGTGCAAAAAACTGACTTGTGCTAAATTTCATAAAAAATAACTTTATATTTACCGTATTTATGAGTATTTAAGGAGTTTTCTGTGGGATCACTTGTATGGCGAAATCTTCAACCAATATTGCCCTTAGTCAGTACCAAACAAACATTACCTATAAGAAACATTTGTGGAAAGTTCAAATATTTATTTAAAGAAATAAAGAAGTTATAGATTTTTGGCCGGAATTTACCATGGCGGATTACCATTATCTACAACAACACTTTTTCGTCGAAATCGATTTTTTGAGTTTGGTCACTTAACATGAATTTACCCCAAAGTATCTTGAGGTTCAGGTAAAATAATACTGTTTAGTGAAATAATTACTGGTATAAATTACTAACACATAAACAAATTTTGATCAAAATTTTTATAAGTGGCCGCTTTAGTTTTCCCACATTGCTTAAGTTATTGACGTTGTCTATGACATAGAGCGACGTGCATTTTATCTTAACATAAAAACCTGCAAACCTTTTACGATATCTTTTGGTAATCTTTTGGTTTTAAATAAAGAGACTGACGTGTTACAAAATTTTAAAACTTTATTTTCGTAGAAAATCTTGTATTAAATCGATTGATGACAAATACATCATGCGTTTAAAAAATAGAATTATAATCACTTAGATATCATTAAACAACACTTTCGCAGAAGCTTAGAAGCATATACTCAGTGCTACTTTTGAAATGGTGATAAATGGTATTCTTTTTGAAGTACATATCGTCACCTGAAACGCAAACGGCCCTATCTAACATTTTAAAAATTTTACAGGTGAAGCAAAAAACTATTTAAATTAAAAAGTTTGTTTCTATCGGCGCCAAACCCAAAACAAAAGCGTCTGCGGATTTAGGGAAGCCTGGATCCTGCAGTCGCAAAACAATAACAGCATCTGGCTCCAAAGCTGGATGCAGCAAAATAAGCAGCGAGGCACCTCTGGACGTCACCCCAAGTACCTCAAAAGCAGCTCAGGTCCGTATTGGCAAAATGCCGATAAAACCCCCTGTTTCGGGGACTACTAAGGCCACCAAAACCAAGGTAGCAACCCCAGTGCCGGTTATGCACGAGGGAACTGCGAACAAGATTTCGGGTTCTCAAACGGCATCTCCCAATGCCAGCACGGCGAATAGTAAGACCCCCAGGCACGTAACACCAGCAAGAAGGGCCTTCCTACAACGGCGCTCCGCCGCCAAAATTCTAACGCGCTTAGCTGGCAAGCCAGTTGAGTCGCTAAGTAAAGAGGACAAGTCCTCTCTAGAATGGGCTAAGGGAAAATTGGCCGTTCTGGAGAAGAGTCCCCCCCTCACGTCTAAGGACGCGCCTAAACGGCAACGTTCTGAGGAGGAGACTAATCTTCAGGGCCAGCAGCCCGGGAAAAAACGTCCGAAACCGTTGCCCCCCAAGCCGCATGACAGGACCTCCGGTGAAGTGGTTGAGAACCAATTCACGCGTGCTGTCATCGACAGGGGTGACATAGATGGCGCTATGTCTCCATCCAGATGGGACATAGTGCGAAAAAAGCTGATGGGGGTGTTCTGGGAAGTTCTTAAACAGAACCCTGGTCCCCCCCCACAGTGTGAGGACGGCGGTTGGTTTCACAACAGAGTGAAGCTAATGGCCTGTTCCAACGAGCGCTCAGCTTTGCTCCTGAAGCAGGCTGTGTCGCTGATAAAGGATCCGTGGGAAGGTGCTAAGCTGGAAGTGGTCTCTGTGGACGAGATCCCACGAAGGCCTAGATCCACCGCCATAATTCCTGCGGAACCACATAAAAAGGCAGCGATACTGGAGCTTCTACAGGTTGGCAATCCGGATCTTCCAACTCAAGATTGGAAGGTCGTCAGGGTTTCTCAACCTGTAGGAAGCTCCAGAAGGATTGTTGTGATCCTGAACCAGGAGTCTTTGGCGCCGCTTCGCGAGAAACAAGGGAAGGTCTACTACGGCTTCGAGTCGATCTTCCTTCGTGTCTACCGAGGCGATGACAAGGGACTATTGGAACAGGATGATCCCGATCCTGACAAATCCGCTGCGGATATGTCTTGCGACGAGACTGACCTTTCGCTGAGTCAATCAACTTCTAAGTTGGTTAAGGAGGGGGAAGAGTCAGTTGACGAGGACGATCTCCTTGCCTCTGACAAGGAGGACGCCAACGTCACAGTGTTGCGTAAAGACAAAAAAGGAGATGGTGAGAGTAACCCAAATTAATCTCCACCACTCCAAAGCAGCCTCGGCTGCACTGCTCCTCCGAATGGGTGTAAGTGGGGAGGAGCTCGCCCTAGTCCAGGAACCCTGGATTCACCAAGAAAGGGTGAGTGGACTAGGCATGAAAAGCTTTAAGCTATTGTACGCAAAAGGATCTGGTAAGATTCGATCCTGTATAGTAGCCAAAAGCAGTCTCAACATCTTCATTCTTTCTGATTTCAGTGATGAAGACACCGTAGCAGCCATATGGGAGACCAGTGTAGGTGCTATATTGGTTATCTCGGCGTACATGGCTCACGACCACAGCGACCAGCCACCGAACAACCTGGTCTGCAGATCCATAGAGATGGCAAACTCGAAAAGCATGCCGATCATCATGGGGGCTGATGCCAATGCCCATCACACTGTCTGGGGAAGCTCGGACATAAACGCTAGAGGTGAGTCAATCTTTAACTTCATTCTAAGCAATAATCTTGATATTTTAAATACAGGATCCGAACCGACCTTTATTGTTTCAAACAGAAGGGAAGTTCTTGACATTACGCTGGTTAGTTCTATGCATCATGATAGGATAAGGGGATGGAGAGTCTCAAGTGACTGCTCTTTCTCTGACCATCAGTACATCGATTTTGAAATCGTAGTTGACAAAGTGGCCCCAAAGCCCTTTATAAACAGGAGACGAACAGATTGGGAAATGCAAATGAGGCTAATCTCACGTTCACTCCAGGATGTACCGATCATCGAAAACCGATCGGACATAGAAAACGCGGTTGAAACCACAAATCAAGCTTTCAAACACGCGACTTCACTGTCTTGTAAACAGAATATGCACAAAGGCAGATGCAGGCCCCCATGGTGGTCTGCGGACATTGCGAAATCTCGAAAAGAGACGCGCAGACTGTTTAACGTGGCAAAGAAAACAGGAAACTGGATTTCTTACAAGACCTCGGTTAATCGTTTCAAGAACCTGGTAAGAAATGCAAAGCGCAAATCTTGGAAAACCTTCTGTAGCGGCGTGGAAGGTTCTTCTGAGACCAGTCGTCTGCGCAAAATCATATCATCTACTCCTCCTGTCCCAAGTTTCATTCAGAAACCTTGTGGCAGTTGGACGACCAGCAGCCTAGAAACCTTAGAAGTTTTAATGGCCACTCACTTTCCAGGCTGTCAATCTCCGGAAAACGGGACTGACATGCAGTTTACAGATCTCCCAGCTGATACAGGAATATCCATAAATGAAGATAAGATCAACTGGGCGATAAACAGCTTCGACCCCTACAAATCACCGGGTCCTGACGGTATAATACCTGCGGATTTGCAATACAATGCTGTCCATCTTATGCCTTGGCTAACGCGGATATATGATGCTTGTTTAAAATGGTCTTATATACCCGAACCCTGGACCAAGTGCACAGTGGTCTTCATTCCGAAAGGAGGAAAGACCTCTCACACGAAGCCAAAGGATTTTAGACCAATTAGTCTATCCTCCTTTCTTCTCAAAACTTTGGAAAGGATAATTGATCTGCATCTCAGAATACATATCAAACCTGACCATCTATCAGCATCTCAACATGCCTACATGAAGGGAAAATCTGTAGAGACTGCATTACATTCTCTAGTTTGTCACATTGAAAAGACAATAGCACAAGGGGAATATACACTGGTTGCCTTCTTGGACATCGAGGGGGCTTTCAACAATGTTCACCCTGGGTCGATAACAACGGCCCTAACTGGCCTGGGTATAAACCAACCAATAACAGCTTTCATCAAGAGATTACTGACTCAACGAATCATTATCTCCGAAATGGGAGCAGCAAATGTCACAAAAGTGGCAAATCGCGGTACCCCACAAGGTGGAGTTCTATATCCACTTCTGTGGAACCTAGCGTTAAACCCACTTCTTATGGATCTTAGATCTATGGGATTTAAGGTAATAGCATATGCAGACGATGTGTCTGTAGTAGTATCTGGCCAATATCTGGATACTTTATCGCAAAGGATGGAGATTGCACTCAAGACACTCAGTACGTGGAGCAACGTCAGTGGCCTTGGTGTAAAACGGAACTTGTTCTCTTCACTAAGAAGTACAAGATACCCACCTTCACTCTACCACGACTGAATGGGATAGGATTGAAGTTATCGGATAGTGCTAAATATTTGGGAGTAATCCTAGATTCAAAACTATCATGGCACTTGAACACTCAATCTAGAGTATCAAAAGCGGCTGCGGCCTTATACTCGTGTAAGAGAGCAATTGGCAAATCATGGGGCATAAACCCCAAGAATACCAAATGGCTCTTCGACATGGTAGTCAAGCCCATACTATTGTACGGTGCACTTGTATGGTGGAAGTCTGTACAAAAGGACTCACACCGCAAACGTTTTGAGGGAATCCTTCGTACATCAGCTCTGTTGATAACGGGGGCTCTCCGCACCACCCCATCAAAGGCTCTCTTTGTCATGATGGGATGGCTACCTATTGATCTAATGGCCCAAGAGGTTGCCCTCAACGCGGCTATTAGACTCAATACAATTGGTATGTGGCATATGATTCAGTCAGGTCACTCCACCATTCTCAATTGTCTAGGAGAGATTCCTGACAATATCGACTATTGCATCGCCAAACCGTCTTTTGACAGAAGCTTTTCGGTGAATATCCGACACGACCCAAATGTGATGGAAACAATCCTCCATGACGGATCGTATAAGGTTTTCACTGATGGCTCAAAATCAAACCATGGTGTAGGCGGTGGCTTTTACATAGCACATTCGGGAACGGAAGTATCATTCAAGCTTCCTGACCAATGTAGCGTCCTTCAGGCTGAACTATCAGCCATTAAACGGGCTGCAAACTGGCTCAGGTTTTATCGAATATACGGTGTTAATATTCGAATTTATACCGACAGCCAGACAGCCCTTAAGGTTCTAAGTGGTGTCTACACGACGTCAAACTTAGTCCTAGAATGCCGGGCATCCCTTAACGAGATGGCGAAACATTCCACAATAGGACTGTATTGGATTCCAGGACATCAGCAAATTCCTGGTAATACCATCGCGGACTCTCTTGCCAAGTTAGGCTCCTCGCTTGCAGGAGAGCATACCGACCCTTTTGTCGGTATACCGCTTTCAACCTGCAAACGCTCGATACGTGAAAAACTATATGAGCTTGCGCAATGCAGATGGTCGACTGAAGCCACCTGTAGACAGGCAAGGATCATGTGGCCATCTTACGACCCACAAAGATCCCAAGCCCTTTTCTACATTCCGAGAGTTAATCTACGGAACTTAACGGCAGTGGTAACTGGCCACTGGCCTTTCGGACTCCATGCAAGAAGACTGAACTTACCCAGTAACGACTTCTGCAGGAGCTGCCAGGATGAAGAGGAAGAAGAGAGTATAACTCACTTCCTCTGTCATTGTCCTGCCCTAGCTGATCACAGAATGGGTCTGCTAGGTAGCTATTTTCTGCATGACTTAGCGGATCTATCGGAGGTTGATATCCGAAAGATAGATTCCTATATTCGTGCGACAAACTGGTTCGGTGGAAACCAGAGTGATTAGGTTGAAGTGTACTAATACGCCGACCGTTCTCTCTCGTTTCAGGTATCACAAAGGGATCAAAATTCTGGACCCAAGTGTGTCCCCAGTGATGACATCGCGAGGACGACCTGCCTACCTAACCTAACCTTCTATCGATTTATTTTTATTAAATAAACCTATTATATGTTATGATAGTTGACATTGGCGTATATAAAAATGGATAATTTGGCCTTTTGTTTTTTGTAAAAAAACTCGCTAATTTTAGTCGAAAGAGTCTAATTTCTTTTGTGGACATTTGTTTTGATGCAATAAAATCGATTTGGAATTTTTGGTTAGTTAGGGCAGTTTGCGTTTTTAGGTGACGGTATGTAGCTACATATGTAGTTTTAATTTTTGCTGGGATAGCTGACCATATAAATTCCACTTCCGAATATCACTTAATCGCAAATATTCTACACGAATATGTTTTCAATATAGGTGCAGTGAAATAGCTCCGAAATGAAACAACTCCCAACGGGTAAAATGGAATAACACCCAAAAAATTTTCTCTACTAATAGTTGGTTATTTCATATGAAAATACTCCCAAATTATTGGAACTTATGTCATATTTTTTATTTCTCCGAATGAAACAGCTCCCAACAAATTTTTTTGTTATTGAAAATAAATTAAATTGAATACAGATTTTTATTTTACCTAATCGTAAAGTTAGTTAAGGATCTACAAACATTTTAGAGTTTTCATATAAAAAGACATTTTTGATTAAACATTTAACTAAATAATAATTCTCATATATTGTGAGAATTATATATCATGATCTCTAGCATTATAAATGTAACAAAATGTGGACGGAAAAAGATCATTGCATTTCATTAAGTTCACAACAGGCCCGAAATTAGTGCTATAGGTGTATTTATTCGGATTAGGTGTATTACATTCTCTTCCTCAAACACTGTATGTTACCAAATTGTGAACATAAAAATGCGCGTATCATCCAATCAATATAATATAGAGTTTTTTATACCCTCCACCACCATCAGTGGTGATAGATGGTATATGGGCATTTCCACCGAAAAGTCCACCGTGGCCCAAAAACTAAAAGTCATCAAAAGTAAAATTTCAACTTCTCTTATTATAGAAAAAGATTCAAATTTTATTAAATTAAAGACCCCAAAGCTTTTCTTAACCACTATGATGAGAAATCGGAATTAAAAGTTACAATAATATTTCAGGCATATTTTTGCACCTTTAGTAGCATTTGCTTTTAATAGTTTTTATTATTTTAAAGGCTAATATTTAAATGGACTTTTATCCGAAAATATTTGTTGGAATAATAGTTATCTTAAAACATACAAATATAAAATGATAAAGATCCTTAAAAGGCAAATTTTCGGTTTTCTTTCATAGACTTTTAAATGTCACGTTCGTCACATTGAAACAGGATTTATCCCGATAACTTTTTAGTTGGCATTCAGAAGTATTCAAAACTTTGAATCTAAATCAAGTTTAGTATATAGAACTCAATTTAAAAGAAAAAAAAATAATTCTATGCGTGGTTATTTTTTATAGAATTTCAAAGTCTGTCACGTCACGTCACATTACATAAATTTTCTCAAGTGCAACCTTCGAATTGTGAAATATTGTTATTTAAAATGATGTGATATTTATGCAATTTATTCAATTAGGTGATAGTTATTATTATACCCTACACCACTTTAGTGGGGAGGGTATATTGGATTTGTGCTGATGTTTGTAACATACAAAAATATTCGTCCTAGACCCACCTTAAAGTATACCAATCGGCTTAGAATCGTTTTCTGAGTCGATTAAGCTATGTCCGTCCGCCTGGCTGGCTGGCTGGCTGTCCATGTAAACCTTGTGCGCAAGGTACAGGTCGCAATTTTCAAGATAATTGGATGAAATTTGGCACGCACGTTTTATTTGACCCAAGGACGAAGCCTATTGAAAATGGTTAAAATCGGTCCATTATTTCACCTAGCCCCCATAGAACAGAACCCCCCGAAAAGGGCTTCTGAGCTCATAATTATGTCAAATATACAGATATATCGATAAAATACGGCACAACTAAGTTTTATAGAAGTCTTGATGACCCTGCCAAATTTCATAAAGATCGGGCCCCATTTGACCCTAGCTCCCATACAAAGTCCCCTTCAGAAAATTACTTGAATGTCCCAAATTAACTTATAAACACAAATATCGCGATAAAATTCAGCACAATAAAATATTATGTAAATATAAATATATTCACAAAATTTTATCGGGCTTGGTCCATATTTGCCCCTAGCCCCCATATAAAGCCTCTTTCAGAAAATTAGTTTTTCATCCATAAATTGCTTAAATGTATCGGAACAAGGGAATATTGAAGATAAATGCTTTTTTATGAAAAATAAATCACATTTAATATTCATAACTGGTGTAGGGTATCATATGGTCGGCCACGCCCGACTATACTTTCTTACTTGTTTTTTAGTTGATAAGTGGAAGAAAAAGTACAGAAATTCAACAAATGATATTTTTAAGAAATGTATGGAAAAAAGTGATTTTCGGATATCGGCTTTATATGGGCGTTATGACAGATTATTGTATTATCATCAGAAGGGTCAGTAGTTGTACATTTTAAAGTTTTTTGTGTGTTTGTATTATCAGGATGGCGAAATTTTAGTTATATATCCAAGTTTATGGGTATATCAAATGTGGGCTTTGTATGGAAGCTATGCCTAATCATGGACCAATTTTAAAAAAAATTAGGATGAACGATTTTTGTGTATGTCAAAATTATTTGTGTTGAATTTTATGGTGATATAAGCATTTTTAAAAGTTTTATGTTAATTAATGTTAATTCTTATATTATTCTTATACGGGAGCTATTTTCAACTAAAATGTTATTAAATAGTCGAAATATTTCTCCGATTCCAAAAACTTTCAACAATGTCCGTCCAAAATAAATCTATATAATCTAATATAATCTAATTAATTTTCAATAATATTGCAAATTTCATCATTGGAAATTTTTGTCACGTCATGTCACGTCACGTCACACATAATGGCTTGTACAAAAAAAATCTGAAAACAATTTTTTAGTTCTAAAAGCTGAAAAACAATCAATAAATATTCCAAATTACAATAAAAAAGGTTTTAACCAAATAGCGAGGTGAAACTCGCAGATTTTTACATTTTTGTCAAAAAAGAAATAAGCAACTTCTATTTCTGTCACATCACGTCACGCACTTTAACTACTGATATCTTAGGGCCATTAAGATCTTCCAATTTCTTCTTCCGACCAGTTATAGAGCTATTGAAGCCCTATATAAAAATACAAGAATTTTTAAAAAATATATATGTATATATATATTTTTCATCTCTTTAAAACGTACGACCGTCACGATGGAAATGCCCATATATAACTTTGTCATTCCGTGTGTAACATCAAGAAATATACATCTGAGACCCAACAAAGTATATATATTCTTGATCCTTATGAAATTCTGAGTCGATTTAGCTATGTCCGTCCGCCCGTCTGTCTGTGTAAAACACGCTCACGTTAAAACGAAGCAATAAAAATTCATGAAATTCCTTATTATCCAGTCCAGTTTGGTATTGAAAATCAGTAAAACCGGTTCACGACGTAAAAAGTTATGATTAAAAATTTCAGACTACCTCGAAAAAAATGAAGTTTTTTTCCCAATTCTTAAGTTCAATGAATTTTGTCACATTATTTTTTTGTGCCAGGGATCAAGTATGTTCAAACTCATAACAATTGATCCAATATTTCCCATAGCCCCCATACAAAGGTGTATATTCCCGGATATAAGTTTATCGTTAATAACTCCTTCAAATATATCGGTATAAACACAAAATTTTGTACATACAAATATAATATGAATAGAAATCATACTACCAACGTAGATCTCAGTCGGTCTACAATTGGTCATAGCTGCCATGTAAGGTCCACTTCCAAAAATCACCTAAACACACATATTTCATTGACAAATAAAGCAAATATTCTACACGAATATGTTTTGAATATAGGTGCAGTGAAATAGCTACGAAATGAAACAACTCCCAACGGGTAAAATGGAATAACACCCAAAAATTTTTCTCTACTAATAGTTGGTTATTTCATATGAAAATACTCCCAAATTATTGGAACTTATGTCATATTTTTTATTTCCCCGAATGAAACAGCTCCCAAAAAAATTTTTGTTGGGAATTATTTCATTTAGGGGAGAAATTATTGATAATAAATTAAATTGAATACAGATTTTTATTTTACCTAATCGTAAAGTTAGTTAAGGATCTACAAACATTTTAAAGTTTTCATATAAAAAGAAATTTTTGATTAAACATTTAACTAAATAATAATTCTCATATATTGTGAGAATTATATATCATGATCTTTAGCATTATAAATGTAACAAAATGTGGACGGAAAAAGGTCATTGCATTTCATTAAGATCACAACAGGCCCGAAATTAGTGCTATAGGTGTATTTATTCGGATTAGGTGTATTAAACATACTCTTCCTCAAACACTGTATGTTGCCAAATTGTGAACAAAAAAATACGCGTATCATCCAATCAATATAATATAGAGTTCTTTATACCCTCCACCACCATCAGTGGTGATAGATGGTATATATAACTTTGTCATTCCGTGTGTAACATCAAGAAAGATACATCTGAGACCCAACAAAGTATATATATTCTTGATCCTTATGAAATTCTGAGTCGATTTAGCTATGTCCGTCCGTCCGTCTGTCTGTGTAAAACACGCTCACGTTAAAACGAAGCAATAAAAATTCACGAAATTCCTTATTATCCGGTCCAGTTTGGTATTGAAAATCAGTAAAACCGGTTCACGACGTAAAAAGTTATGATTAAAAATTTCAGACTACCTCGAAAAAAATAAAGTTTTTTTCCCAATTCTTAAGTTCAATGAATTTTGTCACACATTATTTTTTGGTGCCAGGGATCAAGTATGTTCAAACTCATAACAATTGATCCAATATTTCCCATAGCCCCCTTACAAAGGTGTATATTCCCGGATATAAGTTTATCGTTAATAACTCCTTCAAATGTATCGGTAACAACACAAAATTTTGTACATA